AGAGAGACCAGAGAGAGACCAGAGAGACAGACCAGAGAGAGACCAGAGAGAGACCAGAGAGACAGACCAGAGAGAGACCAGAGAGAGAGACCAGAGAGAGACCAGAGAGAGACCAGAGAGACAGACCAGAGAGAGACCAGCAAAAGAGACCGGAGAGAGACCAGAGACAGACCAGAGAGAGACCAGAAAGAGACCAGAGAGAGAGCAGAGAAAGACCAGAGAGAGACCAGAGAGAGAGACCAGAGAGAGAGACCAGAGAGAGACCAGAGAGAGACCAGAGAGAGACTAGAGAGACAGACCAGAGAGAGACCAGCAAAAGAGACCGGAGAGAGACCAGAGACAGACCAGAGAGAGACCAGAAAGAGACCAGAGAGAGAGCAGAGAAAGACCAGAGAGAGACCAGAGAGAGACCCGAGAGAGACCAGAGAGAGACCAGAGAGAGAGACCAGAAAGAGACCAGAGAGAGACCAGAGAGAGAGACCAGAGAGAGAGAGAGAGACCAGAGAGTTATTCACTGTATTTGTCATTTTGGCCTTTAGAATCAGAATCAGAATCAGAATCATTTTTATTGCCACGTAAGTAACAGGAAGTCACAGACTTGGACATTGTTTTGGCTCAGTGCAGCAGTCAGAAAAGAGAGGTGAAGAGTAGAGAAGGCATAATAAAACATTTAAAATAAGAAATAAAATCCTGTAGACATAACGGGCCTATTGAACATTTTTTTAGTGGTAGGAGAAACCGGAGCACCTGGAGGAAACCTATGCCGACACAAGGAGAAAATGCAAATCCCACACAGAAAGTCACCGTTTGGAGGTGAAATCAAACCCTGAAAATTGGTCAAAAACTTGCATTCCTCGAGCCACAGTCTTCAACTTGTTATTAGCAGTAAACGTTAAAACATTTGGAAAGAATTAAAAAATGTCCAAAATGACACAAACTCAAAATACATAATTAGTTGAAACTGTTAAAGTAAGTCTTCTGCTGACAATGGATCACTACTATTTATTCACAATTAAAGAAAAAAGGAGGTGGGAGGGGCCGATGGCACAGACTGGTTGCCTCGCTTCTGTCAGTGTGCCCCAGGGCAGCTGTGGCTACAGTAGTAGTTTATCACCACATAATAATAATGACATGTGAAGCGTCCAAAAAGCACTATATATTATTATTATTATCATCTTTTTTGGCGGCTTATTTTGTTTTTTGTTGTTTTTAAGTTTGTATGAAAGAATTAAATTAACGTTTCCAAATTATACAAATGTGTGTTTTGCCTGAATGAGCCTTGGGTTGGCGTTAATGGTTGATAAAAAAATAAATAAAAAAATTGTCCAATGGCACAGATTAGTCGCCTCACTCGTCTCAGTCCGCCCCAGGGCAGGTGTGACTACAGTAGTAGTTTACCACCCAGGTGTGTAGAGTGAATACAAAACAGCATCTGAAGTGTTCTTAAGTATAAAACTATTATTATTACATATATTAATGGTATTTCTGTATGTATGTAATTTTTTTTTTTTCCGGTTGTAGTTTTTTGCCTGGTGAGTGACAGACGGCAGAGAAACAAGCACAGCCAAACAGTTTTCTCCACACATCACTGCATGCGCCACTATCTGCCACACACACACACACACACACACACACACACACACACACACACACACACACACACACACACACACACACACACACACACACACACACACACACACACACACACACACACACACACACACACACACACACACACACACACACACACACACACACACACACACACACACACACACACACACACACACACACACACACACACGTTTTTGTTACCTGGTGGGTCCCTTTGACAGGGCCGTTCAGAATGGGACCCATAGACATAATCTTTTTTTACCAAGACTTTAAGTAATACAAAACAGTCAATAGAAACCAAACAACTATTTTAAAGGAATTTTATTTTAGATTTTGTTTTCGAATTGCAGTGATTCTATTTTTGACATAGAATTTAATGCCACTCCATGTCCGATGTCTAAGGTCATCTGGTGAGGCATTAATGCAGGCCAGGCAGTGAGACTTCCCAGGGACCTTTCCAGTCTGTATGAAAGGTGTCATGGTCTTCTCCACAGCCTTCACCTCAGATGCAGACCATGGCTTTCTTACACGTTCTAGGGAGAGAAATAAAAATATATTAGCAATATACACTCCCAGGGTGAGGACCAAGCAGCCTGGCTGTAATCCCCCACCTGGTACACTTACCAGAAGGGGCACTGCCACTACCATGGGGTGCATCTGGATGAATGGTTGAAGGTTCTCCGCTTGAAGTTTCTTTTAGCCCGTCCGTTTGTGAGAGGATCTCTACTGCTCTCCCTGTCGCACAGAAAATAAAAATACAAGTGGCCTTTAGGGGAAAAAAATCATACATATTTTAATAATATCAAGAATTACCTTCAGGCTCAATTTGTATCTGGTCGAGGCTCTTTCCTTCGAATTCCGTCACTCTTCCCTGCTCCATGGCCATCAACACTTTGCTGATTTTGGCCAGCTCCAGTGTCCCCTCTGGTAGTCTGTAATATTGCCTGTGGATGCGAATGTCATGGCCGAGGAAGTTGGCAAGTATGTCCATCTCATTCTCTTTCATATTGAGAACTGTAGACATAGTAGCTATGTGCTTTCTAAGTTTGGTTGAGGATAGCATCTCTGGATGCACCGCACCACATTCTTTGGCTACCTGGCGTAGGGAGTCTGATCCCCTGATGTGGGTGTCTGCGCCCGGGCGGGAAAAGAAGTATGGGTTATGGTCAGAGATGGAACAGGCCCTTCTGTTCTCCACCAGCACCTCCATCGAAGACAATCATTTCAGGAGTCAAAAGAACCGGCACTTTCCGACTTCTTTTCCCTTTAATTTCAATGCGTTGAAAATGCTGACACAGCTTTTTCTCAAGTTGGGACAGTCCCAGAGCAATGTCAGAATGGATCCCAGTCTTACTTCTTAAGGTAAAGGCTGTCAGTGGCATCTTTGAAACCTCACCTTCCCTTCTTCGATTGAAAATGATGACCTCACAAAGAGTCAAAACTGCCAGTTTAGACCAATGCTTAGACGTTGGCTCACTTATTAGGGTTTGCACATATTCAGGTCGACATACCTCAATATGTGCATGCATGGCTCTAACGTCCTCAGTCAGAGGGAGCAGGTCCGGAGTGTTCCACTTGGCTTGCCGGAGGGTCTGTAGGGCAGCAGAAGAAACACAGACGTCCCACCTCTTCTCAAAAAGCAGCCGGCTTCGTTGGAGGTTTTTAATAAATAGTTCATCAACACAATGCTCCATTTTTGAGTCACATTCAAGAATATCTGCTAGCTTTCTGAGGCTATGGCCGAGTTTGAGGGCCAAGGATGGAGTCTTGTATTGATTTGTTTCCTCATCATATCCAGCCACAGACCTGACTGCATCAATCACATGGTTAAAGTTGGAAGGAATAAAGAAATCCTTAATTGTTTTCAGTTTCCCTGCGGTTTTTGCTTCGTTAATTAACCTACCGACTTCTCTCATTTTCTGCCTAATGTAATCATGCTTTGTCTTATCATGCCCGTGTTTTAAGTACAGGTGCTCTCCGAGTCTCAGAATCCCCTTTTCTGCTTTGACAACACCCGTGACCTCATCCTGATGCATTGCCGAAATTAAAGACCACAGCTTTTTGCTGATGCCCTCCGGTACAGGCTGGGCTAGGGAGCAGAGGGACTGGACCCTACTTCTACCTGGTTTAGCCTGGGCATCTTTCTGTGAAAGCCGGCACCTGGCCACATGCCTCCACAGCGACTTTCGCTTAAGCAATGCCCCACAGTCTATACAGTGCAAAAACTCACTGGATTTAACTGGGCAATTTGGCTGTTTAGCTGGGACTAAAGTTCCAATGCCGGCCTTTAAAACCTCAAAATTGTGCTCACGGTTTCCACTATTCCTGATCAAATCAAACTGAAGTTTACGTGCTTTAGATTTCACAGGTAGAGCCAATGCTCTGGCTACGTCACTTTCATTTCCATGTTTTCTAGTCAAATGACGGGACATTTTGTGGCAGGACATTGAACAGTAGAGGCAGAAGTGTCTCTTGCTGTATACTCGCCCCCCATTTTTCTTCTTTTGCAGCTGCATGATAACAATCTTATTTGCCTTTGGTTCGTCACTTTCCGAGTCTTGAAGAAAAGTGTTTTTGATTTTTCTTTTTCCATACTTTTTTACAGGTTTCTTCTTGACAGTTAAATCGTCAGAATCTGAGTCGACTTCATCAATTAGGGACTCTTGACTAAGCTGCACAAACAACAAATAATTTGTAATCATTCTATATAACAATTTGAAGTCATGACTTGTAGTCAGCACTTACCAGTGGTTTGTAAGCGTGCGCTTCAGTGTGCTCCTCCATGATTTCTTGCAGCCTAATGAACCACACACTTGCACCTTTTTCTAGCCTGACACCTGATTTCCTCTGTTGTGCTGCTCCATGATTGGCTCCAGCCTGCTGGACTGAAATTGCCCCAGTGTGCCCCTCCTTGATATCCCGCACCCACCACACCAGGGTTCCGACACATAACACACTTTTTTCAGGAAAGTAAACCTCCAGGGGTCCTTTCCATATTTTTACAGAGACTGCATAAGGACCGTTAGAAAAGCATTACCCATTGATTATTAAGCTTGGACCAGTGGGGTCCGGTGTTCGGGCCCCACCACGTAAAACCAGTCCCCATGACGTGAGTGGAATCTCAGGTTATGGAACCCACCAGGAGTTGAAAACAAGTGCACACACACACACACACACACACACACACACACACACACACACACACACACACACACACACACACACACACCTCATGTGTGAAATAGAAATGCATGTCCGATTCGCACTAACGAGCCTTTCCGTCTGGACATGATTCGATTACTACTGTGCAAATGTGATTCTCCGGCTTGTCTGGCTTCTTCTCCCTTCACTACTTCTTCTTCTTCTATTTCCCATTTACCTGAATGACCATCCACGACACGGAGATGAAACGCCTCGCTTCTGGCATCGCAGCGCACCTTCGGGCATCGGGATCACCACAAAAAACCCCACATTGTTTAAAAGATAAAAAGAGAAAGCTGGAGCCCAAAGAAAAGCAGTCGATGGTGGTGTCTCTGGTTGCCGGGCGGTATCCGGGGAGAGAGTGCGGACTTTGGGAGCAGACTGGGAGAGATGGGAGACTGTCCCTCGTCATTCACGAATCTATGTGTAAACACTGGCAGAACGTGGAATACGCTACACCCCGCCCCCTTGCCCAGTCCCTCTAAAAATAGCAGCCAATCACAGCGCTCGTACAGGCACCAGCAGAAGGGGGGAGACACGGAGGCTCTGATTGGTCGGCAGCGGCGTGGAGTGGGAGGGGCACGGCGAGACCATGTGCACGGAGTTTTGAAGAGGAGATGAGAGGGAATGGAGAAAGAGGAGGGGAGGGGGGAAGAGGGGAGCGATGGAGGAAGACGGGGAGGAGGGGGGTCGTTCAAAGAGCCAAAAATAAAGAAGCACATGATGTACCGCGACTATAAATAAACAGAGAGTTACTATGAATATGAACCGTGAGAGAGACCGCGACATGCAGCGGGAACTGATGATGAGGAGGGAGGAAGAGCCAGAAGGATGACTGGAATAAAGGGTGTGTGTGTGTGTGTGTGTGTGTGTGTGTGTGTGTGTGTGTGTGTATATGTGTGTGTGCGTGTGTTTGTTGCTTATAGGAATGGGAACAGGCTTGATTACTGAAATGGTACAATTTGCAATTCAAGGTATTTTTGAACAGTCTTCTCAGATTCAGGCTTCTTAATCTAACCCAGGCCCTGGCAATTAATATGAGCTGCATCTTAGAAGATTCAGATAGAAGCAAAAATGTAAAAATCATCATCAACGTAATTCTGACCTCTTTTGTCATGTGTCATAAAGGATTTTAAAGATTTTTGCAACTTTTGAGTGCCTCAGGATTCTGTCTGAAATGTCAACGTTGCTCCCTCCGCTGCAGAGAACCATAAGTTTACTTTGTTCCTTCCACATTTTCAATCCAGGAAGCGCTCCAGCCCAAAGTACTATGTCTTGGAGAACTTTAAAAATGTTCCCAATGGATCTCTTAATCAAACAACTCAACTTCACACTTTATATTTGGGTTTTGGAATAGGCCTGAAGGTCGTGGGTTCAAGTCCACTGCAAGACCTTCTCCACCGACTCCCGCTGCTGTCGTTGTGTCCTTGGGCTCTCTGTCTCTCTCTCTTTGTCTCTCTCTCTGTCTCTTTCTCTCTTTGTCTCTCTCTCTCTCTGTCCCTGTCTCTCTCTGTCTCTCTCTGTCTCTGTCTCTCTCTCTCGCTGTCTCTCTCACTCTCTGTCCCTCTCACTCTCTGTCCCTCTCACTCTCTGTCCCTCTCTCTCTCTGTCTCTCTCTCTCGCTGTCTCTCTCACTCTCTGTCCCTCTCTCTCAGTCTCCTTCTCTGTCTCTCTCTCTCTGTCGCTGTCTCTCTCTCTCTCTGTCTCCTTCTCTCTCTCTCTCTCTCCCTCCCTTGGGCTCTCTGTCTCTCTCTCACCGTCTCTCTCTCTTTGTCTCTCTCTCTGTCTCTTTCTCTCTTTGTCTCTCTCTCTCTCCCTGTCAGTCTCTCTTTCTCGCTCTCTCTGTCTCTCTCTCTCTCTGTCCCTGTCTCTCTCAGTCTCCTTCTCTCTCTGTCTCTCTCTCTCTCTCTGTCTCTCTCTCTCTCTCTCTCTCTCTCTGTCCCTGTCTCTCTCTCCTTCTCTCTCTCTCTCTCTTTCAGTCTCCTTCTCTCCCCCTCTCTCCCTCTCCCTCTCTTATACAGAAACACATACTACCAGGCCGTATGGAGGTGCACGTGGCTGTGAGGGGGCGGGTGCGGCTGCAGACGGCTGAGGAGCCTGGAGATGGAGACCCTTCATCCATACGTCTCATTCACATTCCCAGGCACATGAAGAGCCTGGAGATGGAGACCCTTCATCTATACGTCTCATTCACATTCCCAGGCACATGAAGAGCCTGGAGATGGAGACCCTTCATCCATACGTCTCATTCACATTCCCAGGCACATGAGGAGCCTGGAGATGGAGACCCTTCATCCATACGTCTCATTCACATTCCCAGGCACATGAAGAGCCTGGAGATGGAGACCCTTCATCTATACGTCTCATTCACATTCCCAGGCACATGAAGAGCCTGGAGATGGAGACCCTTCATCCATCCGTCTCAATCACATTCCCAGGCACATGAGGAGCCTGGAGATGGAGACCCTTCATCCATACGTCTCATTCACATTCCCAGGCACATGAAGAGCCTGGAGATGGAGACCCTTCATCCATACGTCTCATTCACATTCCCAGGCACATGAGGAGCGGGGGAAGGGCCCGGGAACAGGACTGCTTCATTCATGGCTCCGTGTTGCTGAGCTTTATGAATAGAGATGAAGTCTTTGAATGAACGGGCCCCAAACCAGTATAGAATCCATACATCCATGATTGATCTGACTGGGAATATCTGAATGAACGAGAATTTAGTTATATAAGAACTGTAACATAATTTGAAAATAAGAAGGTAGAAGTAAATGTTATATTTCCAACCCCTTTTTACATTTTCTTGAATGTCAAAAAAACTCAGTTCAGTCAGAACTTACATTAACAGATATTTCTCTTCATTATAACTGACTCTGGTGACCATAAAAAGTATTATTTCAAAGGCACATTAAAGACCAGGATCTTGTTGTCGTTACCATTTCCCTGATTTACTTATATTTAGTTAGACCAGCAAACGGCAATCACAATTTACTTTTATCACACTGTAGATCTGCTGTGGTTATGCACTATTTATGGTGAAATATATAGAATATTATTGAGTGACTGCATAAACACATAACCAAGTATATTTTTAAATTCAGGCCCAAATGATGTGTATATGTGTATTTAGCATGATCTTTGGTAAACTTATGCAGTCACTACTATTATTATTCTGTACTCCATCCGTCTTCCATCTCCTTCTTCTTCTGTGTTTATAACTCGTTTTGTTTGGGTTTATTGTCTCTTGGGGGCTATAACTATTGAATATTTTTTGTAGTATATGAAATATTTGTACTTCAAGTTGTAACTATCTGTTATAATGAGGCTTTTAAAAAATCGTTTACATTTTGTTTGTCTTTTAAATGTTATATTGGCAGTATAAATCATAAGAGTTTAATACAGCTGCCGTGGCATGTTATACATCATTTAAATGCCTTCATGTTTACTTCATAAAACATTATTGATTGACTGCGGAACCTTCCGCAGTCAACCATTGGTTTTGTATTTCTTTATTCCGTCATTTTTTTTGACACGTTTCACAGCTTTCACATTTTCAACAATTTCCACAAGTTATACATCAAAACGTTCCACATGTTTGGGAGATTATTGCTATTACTTTTGGGACTTCAGCGATTTCCGGTTTTTCCGCAATCGGACAAAAATCTGCATTGAGAATTCTGCAATGCATTTTAATAGGCCCATGCATTTTAATAGGACTTCAGCTCTTTCAGACATTTCTACAGTTTCAATGATTCAACAGTTTCAAGGATTCAACAGTTTCAAGGATTTCAGCAGTTTCAAGATTTCAAGAGTTTCAAGGACTTCAACAGTTTCAAGGACTTCAGCAGTTTCAAGGACTTCAGCAGTTTCAAGGACTTCAGCAGTTTCAAGGACTTCAGTGTAATCATGCAACCTAATAGGGATTTTTCCATGTAAACCAGTATAATGCAACTTAATAGGGATTTTTCCATGTAAACCAGTATAATGCAACTTAATAGGGTTTTTTCATGTAAACCAGTATAATGCAACTTAATAGGGTTTTTTTTCATGTAAACCAGTATAATGCAACTTAATGGGGATTTTTCCATGTAAACCAGTATAATGCAACTTAATAGGGGTTTTTACATGTAAACCAGTATAATGCAACTTAATAGGGTTTTTTCCATGTAAACCAGTATAATGCAACTTAATAGGGATTTTTCCATGTAAACCAGTATAATGCAACTTAATAGGGATTTTTCCATGTAAACCAGTATAATGCAACTTAATAGGGGTTTTTACATGTAAACCAGTATAATGCAACTTAATGGGGATTTTTCCATGTAAACCAGTATAATGCAACTTAATAGGGGTTTTTACATGTAAACCAGTATAATGCAACTTAATAGGGTTTTTTCCATGTAAACCAGTATAATGCAACTTAATAGGGATTTTTCCATGTAAACCAGTATAATGCAACTTAATAGGGTTTTTTTCATGTAAACCAGTATAATGCCACTTAATAGGGTTTTTTTCATGTAAACCAGTATAATGCAACTTAATGGGGATTTTTCCATGTAAACCAGTATAATGCAACTTAATAGGGGTTTTTACATGTAAACCAGTATAATGCAACTTAATAGGGGTTTTTTACATGTAAACCAGTATAATGGAACTTAATAGGGGTTTTTACATGTAAACCAGTATAATGCAACTTAATAGGGATTTTTACATGTAAACCAGTATAATGCAACTTAATAGGGTTTTTTACATGTAAACCAGTATAATGCAACTTAATGGGGATTTTTCCATGTAAACCAGTATAATGCAACTTAATAGGGGTTTTTACATGTAAACCAGTATAAAGGATAACAGTTTAAAGGATATCAGGAGCTTCAAATACTTCAGGAGTTTCAAAGATGTTTAAAGTATTTTAACAGTTTTTTTCAGCAAGGATTTTTCAGCTAAATTCCACATTAGATCTGTTTCGCAGTCAATCGCAATGGCTTCAGCCATTGCAACGGTTTCTAGTTAATTTTGTTTTCAACAATAAACTCTAACATGTTTTTTGTAATTATAAAACACACATTTGACCAGATTTCATTTGTTAATTAATTCACTCCATACACGATGGTTCAATCACTACTGTAGCCACAGCTGCCCTGGGGCACACTGACAGAAGAGAGGCAACCAGTCTGTGCCATCAGCCCCTCCCACCACCACCAACCATTCACACACACACCAGACTCATTCTAATGTGGGGGAAGTGTCTTGCCTAAGGACACAACCACAGTTTGGCAACTTACAGCCGCAGCCGCCCCACTGTGGCACCTGCTGTTCCCAGAGGTCTCCCATCACAGCACTAACCTATCTTGTCCTGCTTAGCTTCAGAGGTCTGACAGGATCTAGCTTTCACCTGCAGGTATGGCACTAGTAAAATAAAATAAAAGTTTTTACTGAATAAATCTGAATTCAGAACCAAAAAGAGTGTTTGGTCTGTAGCTACTCGAGTATATTTAGCCTCTTCTCTCTCACGCCGTTTTACCGTACACAGATTTGATATTATTGCCGGTGTGAAGTCTCGGCACAGAAATAAGCCGTTGGTTCTCGCAGGAGCTAAAAGAGGCGGCGGCGTG